TTTGCGTTTGCGGCACCAGCTCTCCTTCGCGGGTCGGCGCTGGACCTCGGCCAGCTTTGCAATCAAGCTCTTCTCCAAGAGAAGAGGGGAGGGGATGTGGGAAGAGACAGGTCGGGCACAGGCCGTCCCCTTCCTGCAGCTTGACAAACAGAAGCCAGAGGCTCTGGGCAGCTGTGTAAATCAAAACAGTGGAGGGTGCCCCTTTGGGTGGGGAGTTTTGAACCCGCAGTTGAGGGGGGTGGATGGGTGGGTATGCAGGGATGCCTATCCCCAGTACAGGCAGTACCAGTTAACCCCTTGCTGTGACCCTCTCTTTCATTTTTTCCTCTTTTCATCCCAGAGAAAAGAGGCAAGGAGACTTGGCTGCCAGACTGGAGCAGAACAACTTCTTTGCAGTCCCTGGAAGCAGGCTCCTGCAGGGAAGGGTCTGATGTGGGGTGGGTGGGGGAGAGGTGGAGACAGAATACCCTCTGGTCTGCCAAAGGGGTCAACCTTTCACGGTCTCTGTCCCCCATCACACCTCTCCATCGCGGTGGGTTATTTCAACTGAGATCCCTTTAAAACCCAAGGACTACTGTAACTTCTCGAGGGTCCTGAATTGACATGGCAGAAGAGAGTAGGAGGCTGGCGTTATGGGACTAAGAAAGTGAGAGCCCCCTCTGGCCCCCTTATTGTCCGTTATTCCAAACTCTTCCCGACTTTCTCCCACTTTCTGGACGTCGAGGCTCTCCACCCTCTCCCAGCCTTCCAACTCCCCAAGCAATGACCTCATTGCAAATGACAGCCGGGAGCGAACAGTTCTCCTCCCTAGTGAATCGTTGCGGGGAGCTAGAGAAATGACGCAATCGGAACTGGCTGGGTCCTGGCCACTTTGGATTGGCCGCGCCGACTCGTGGGGACCCCCCTCCCGCCCTCACTGGAATAAGAGCAGAGGGCTCGGCGGGGAAGACACCCACAGCAGACGTCCAAACGTTGTGTCCAAACGGGTGGACCCCGCTCTCGCGCTCTTCTGAAATTCGAGTTGCCAGGTGAGGAACTTTTTACTCTGCTTTGAAATAGTTTTGCCAGTTTATTGCATTTGCCTGCCTGCTAGCCTCTCGCTTGCCTCTCAGCCGTTTCGACGCGCCTACAGCCAGGCGCTCCTAGCTCTCTGTCCCGCTCTGTCAGCCTTTGACTTCCAATTACCTCCAGTGGGTGCTGACTAGCACCTTCTGGCTTCATCTGGGCGCTGCCAAGTGCCTGCGGCCCGCGTTGGTGCCGGTGGGCGCGCAGCATCCTACGTTTGGTCTGGGAGTCCCCTGCGCAGTCCACGTCCTCCAGGCTCACGTTTGGTTCCTTGGACCTGGAGACCTGAGCCTTCCCCCAAGGCGCCTCCAGCCTGTGAGCATCCCTGGGACTTTGGGCGAAGCTGGGGCAGTTTAGCTGGGGCAGTTTAGCTGCTGCGCTGGTGCCCTGCGTCTGTCACTAAACCGAGTTTCAGCAGAGCCAAAAGTAGTTTGGGTGGAACCCAGAGACCCTATAAATTATCCCCAAGTCCATCCCCACAGGCTGACGTTAGCGTTGGTGTGCAGTTGACCCTCTCTGACTTCCCTGCCACATTTTGGCCCGAGTTCTAGATTGGATTTCCCAGTCCCTGAGAAGACAGGTGCAGTGGGAGAGCAAGGGAAGAAAGGCTGCTTCCGCGTCTGGTTTCCGCAGAGGGCACAGGTGTGGCTCTGTGTGCACGCACGTCTGAGTGGCTTTTCCCTGCTCTCCACAGGGCAGAAACAGCATTCCTGCCCTGCCTCCCCATCGCAGGACACTGGTCCCTGCTTTACCAGGCTGCAAAGTATCTTTTGACATTCAGATTAGTCCATTCTGCACAAAAACAGGGGCTTGGGGGAGGTGGGGTTACTTGCCCGAGGTCAGAAGACCTTTGTGACCAAGTGGGTCCTGGAAACCAGGTCTGCGCTCTGGAAGGTGTTTGATCTGGGCGGAGAAGTAACATCGTTTTCCTCTTACAGAAAGCCATCATGGCCTTCGGAAAGTCCTCCCCCTTCCTGGCTTTCAGCATCTTGGTCCTGTGCCAAGCAAGCAGTCTCCAGGCTGCACCATTCAGGTGAGAGAGCCTGAAGCCGGGAGAGTACTCCCCTTCCACTGCCCCTGGGGTCAAACAATTCTGTAATTTTACAATTCTCAGCACCACAAGGGACACTCTAGGGAGGAGGCTGTGCACCACCCCTGAGACCCGGAGTCAGGGAGGCCACGTTTTTAGGGGAGGTCATGGCTGGAGGAGGCAGAAGGGGCTCAGAGCCCTTTGGGGTTGCTTCCCTTCTTCAGGCCAGCTTTAGAGAGTCTCCCAGACCCAGCAACCCTCAGTGAGAAGGAAGGGCGCCTCCTGCTGGCTGCGTTGGTGAAGGCCTATGTGCAGAGGAAGATCAATGAACTGGAGGAGGAGCAGGGGACTGAGGGTTCCAGGTAAGGCCCCTCACTCCACCGCCCAGGAATACTCAAGTGGACATATTCCAGCAAGGTAGGAAAAGTAGCATTTACTCAGGAGTACAGAAGGCTGTCCATCACCAGGACCTGAGACAAAGCTTCCATCCAGCTCCATGGATGAGGTCCAGGTACAGCTGCAGGGACTGTGGCTAGACATGAACATGCCCACTTCTGAAAGATGTTAGGAAAAGAAATGCAGGGACTTGGACTCACTCAGGGAATTGGCATTGCCCTACTGAGAAGTCCTCCCAGCATTGGCTGAATTAGTACTGGAAAGCATGGATCCAGGAGATGGACCCAGCAAATCTTGGCGTGCTCTAGAAATGTAATGTCTGCATATTGTTCTCTCATACCTGCAAGGGGTCTTCATTTCAACCTTCATCTGCAAGGTTAAGCCACAGGCTATGGAGGGGGTGGGCTCGGGGAGGGCAGTGTCTGAGGTAGGTGTGTGGGCCTTTGGCTGTGGAGGGCAGTGCAGATGTGCATGCTGTCACGGGGCTGGGGGAGCACCCTTGCCCAGCGCCACCTCTCTGAGCACCCTGAGTTTGGAGCACACCCCTGCCCCTGGCCTGGCCCCAGCAGTGCCCAGCAGGGGCACTTGTTACACCTGCATCCACCCTGAGGACCTCTCTGCAGAGCATGAAGGAGCCAGCAGCATGAGGAAAGCCACAAAAGCTCCCCCCTTACAGCCCCCCACCCCCCACTGCCCTGGCTCTGCATGTCTCCCAGTTCTCCCTGTGGAGATCTGAGCTGCCCTCCTACCTGCCCCTCCTGTCCCTGCTCAAGTTGTTGCCCTGTGCTGGTCTAGCCCTCTGCATACTGCCCATAGCTGCATGGTATTGTCTGGCATGTTTTCTCCCTGCAGCTTGGACAGCCCTAAAGCTAAGCGGTGCAGTAGTCTGAGTACCTGCGTGCTGAGCGCGTATGCGAAGGACCTCAACAACTTCCATACATTCTCTAGCATCGGCTTTGGGCCTAAATCACCTGGCAAGAAAAGGGCCATAGCCAGAAGCTTGGAGCTGGACTACTTCCCCCATCTGGGAATGCCCCAGGATGCCAACTGAATGCCTTCCACCTTTTCGCTCTTTTTTAAGTTCCTCTTTTGCTCCCATTGCAGAACCTTAATGCATGTAGACTTCACCTGATTGCTCTTGAAGTTGGAATTGGTAGCGTTGCTGATGACAGACAATGGTGGGAAACTTAGGATGGAAGGAAAGAATGCAGGATTCAGCTTGGTTAGAGATAAGAGTGAGGGATGTTTCTGAAGACATGTTTCATGGCAAAGTCCTCCAATTCCTGTGTCATCTCTCAACTTTTATCACTAATTAATAAACCTGTTTTCTGAAAAGATTTGCTCTGTCCTGGTCATTACTCTGGTCCCTGCCCACCATGTGAGAGTGCCCAGAACCGAGGTAAAAGTAGCTTTAGCCTCAGAGTAGCTAGATACCGGTTGATAGACTTGGTGACAGGGCTTGGTACGTGGTATCTGCGAATGAACTTCGGCATCAAGAACAGATGTGCTGAGGAACAGGTAAGCCTTTCTGTGGGTGGGGTTGGGGGATGCTTCAATCACTGTTTGCTGAACCTTTTCCAGGTAAGTCTAAAGAGAGGTTCAATGTCTCGGTGGAGAGTGGCTTGTCAGTGTACAGCTGTGATGTGGCCTCTGTATCTACTTTGTGTCTTGAGGTGGGACTGGGCCTTTGCCGATCCCTCTTTCCTGATTCCAAAGCAACTGTTGAAGGGGTTGTAAATGCAGGGTGTCAGCATGTGCCCCACAGTTTAGAAGTGGGTTCTGCATGAAGCCTGTGGGCAGGGCTGCTCCCCCAGCAGACTGCCAGGTCATTTCTCCTAACAGCTTTGGTAATTGCATTTAGGAGAAACACTTATTCATAAGTGGCAGGCAGAAGAGCTGCAATCCTCTTTATGAACATCCCAGGGGGATGAACATCCCCTGCCCCCACCCTCTCACTGACCAGTCTTCTCTGTTTCCCCGCCCTGCCCGCCAGCATCACTGCCCAGAAGCGGTCTTGCAACACTGCCACCTGTGTGACCCATCGGCTGGCAGGCTTGCTGAGCAGATCTGGCGGTGTGTTGAAGAACAACTTTGTGCCCACCAATGTGGGCTCTGAAGCCTTTGGCCGTCGCCGAAGGGAACTTCAGGCCTGAGCTGCTACATGACTCAAGGAAGAAGGTGACTATCCTTCAGCTGTCAGATGGGAGGGAGAGGAGGTGGGCGGTTACACCCACTTTTTGAAACCCACTGGTCTTGGTGGCTTCTCTCCAGTTATACTCTTCTTCCTGAGGTAGTGAGTTTTTCTAACTCAACTGGGCAGAAGAATAGGCTGCAGAGATCAGGGCCACCTTTCTGAGAAAAGAAATGAGAAAAAAAATTATTGGCACATTTATAACAGCAAGGCAAAGCTTAGCCAAGACCACTGGTCGTTAATGAATCAAGGTTCAGCACGCCCTCACTCTGGATCAGCGCCCACAGAACCAGACCAAGGGGCTGTCCGCAGGATGCTCCTGCTAGTGTTAGCAGTGACTGCTGAATTGCGTTTGTCATCGTTTGCCTTAGAAGTCTGCTTACATCCCATAGTCATAATGTGTAAATGCTGTTTAAGGACTTCCAGCTCTTTCCAGTAATAACTGTGATTATTCTGTTACCTGATTTTCTTTTTTTCCCTCCTCCTCCTTTCTCTGCTCCCCTTTCTTCCCCTTCATTTATATGTTTTTTCATCTCAGGTTGCCATGAAGCTGAACTCACCACTTCTGTTCATTTCTGTTCACAACTTGGGGAGAAGACCCCATGGAAGACATACATGTTTGCATCCTATAGATAATGAATAAGAGTACCTTTGCCACTGGAAAGGAATGAAACTGAATGCAAAATAAGCTAATTCCATATTTGTTGTGCATCCTTTATCTATTTGATTTTTTTTTTTTGTGCAGTCAATGTAATGACATCTCTTATCAGCTTATCTGGTACCAAACTGGCTCCTCCAGAGCTACCCCGTTGGTTCTGCAGCTCTGCCAGAGCTCAGGGGCCCATGAGCCAGGGCCTCTGTGGTCTCTGCACATGTGGTGACGGGGATGCTATGCCTGTAAGAACATGGTGGTTTTATTTAAGTCCATGTCAATATTGTGCATTTGTGAACTTCATCAAGATTAAAAACGTATTTTGGATATACTTGTTTCAAAGCCTTGGTGGTTCATTTCTCCTTGTTTTCTGAGGCAATAAAAATAATAGTGACACTTTTGAGGGCGTACTATGGGCCAGATGATGTTCGAAGTCATCATCTTCATGCTTCATGCCTAAAATTCTCTTAATCTTCATGACAACTCCATGGGAGTGGATACTGCTCATATTTCTACTTCACACTGAGGAAATGGACGCACAGAGATGTGTAGTCCAAGGTCACACAGTTACTGGCAAACCTCAATGTTGGTTTCTAGAGTTTACAGTTGAAACCACTGTCACTAATTGTTTCTCACAATAGCTCCTGATACTTAACAGAGAACTGTGAGCCATTCTTGACCTAACTACATCACATTGTAGACTCTCAGATGTTGAAAACAAGTGGAAGATTTTAAGCACTAAAATAACCTGGGCTTTACTTACTAGAGTAAATTCCTTTTACACATTGCTTGGCACGGTACTCAATGTTTGTGTCTCACCAACATTTCATGCTGAAACCTTAACCCCATAGTGCTGGTATAAGATGATGGGGACTGAGGGCGGCAATGATGTCATCAGGGTGAGCCCTTCATAGGTGGGATTAGTGCCCTGACAAGAAAGGCCTGGGAGAACAGCCTTGCTCCCCCTGCTGGGAGTGGTTGAAGTGAGAAGACTGCTATCCATGAGGAAGAAGGCTGTTGCCAGACATTGAATCTGTGGGGCCTTCATCTTGGACTTCCTAGCTTTCAGAACTGTAAGAAGCAAACATCTGTTGTTAAAAAGCTATCTAACTTGAGGTATTTTTTAAATAAGATTTTTATTTTTATTTACTCATGGATACACCAACTGGGGTACAGGCCAGAACGGCAGGGTGTGAGAGGATTCATCAGACGTAGAGGGGAGCAGAACAGGCAGATTCACTGAAATATACTACTGAGGGGAACATGAGCAAGACAGGAGAGGTCTGCCATGCCATATGGGTCAGCTCCCTGGCTGGGGATTGACTCAGACTGCAGTGGCTGGTGATAGCTTGATAGGGCTGAGATTTTAACACTTGCATCACCAGGGAGGCCCCTAATTTGTAGTATTTTTTTATACCTCCGAAGATATTCTTCAGATTCAACAATTACCAATTTATAGTTAATTTTGTTACATGTATACATCATTAACTCCTCTCCCCACACCATGTTTTGATATGCTATAAATATTTTTCCATGTCTCTCTAAGCCAGAAGGATTCTTTAAACATAAACAAAATTCTATTTAACAACTAAAGTAAATTATCAGTAATTTAATATCTTATCAGTCATGGTTCAACCTCTTCAAAAATGTGTTAGCACATATATCTGGTATGTAACATGCTTTAAGGCTGATACGCATTAAGACTCTTCTAACCTAGATCTCCCCTCTCCATCACATTTTTCCCCTCTTGGAATTTGTTGGCAACATTAGGCCCAATAGAGTTTTGACACCTGAATCCCACCCCCAGCCAGGCCACAACCAGGGCTTTATTACCTTAGGTAAAACTGTTATCAAATGGATAGTTTTTTTTCACTCAGCTTCTTTTTTTTACTTAGTGAAGTTCTACTGTTTTGAATTTTCATAATAGTTGACAATATTGGATTTAGGTTTGGTCATAGTAGCTCTCCCACCACCAAAATACCCATAGTCCCCCACCATTGTCCTTTGTGCTTCCCTGCTCCTGTTCTCATCCCTCCCAGTCTATCTGCCTCTGACCCTCCCCTACTGGATGCTTCAGATGTGTGGTTAGTTTTTAAGAATTGGTGTTAAAGTTTGTCTTTTTTTGAGCCTTTGTTTGGTTTCTCTATATTCCACACATAAGTGACACCATCTGCTATTTTTCTGTCTTCTGCTGGCTTATTTTACTTAGCATAATCTCTCCCAGCTCCACCCATGATACTGCTAACAGCATGAGGTCATCTTTTGATGGCCGAGTAGTATTCCACTGTGTTTGCACACCACATCGTCTTGATCCATTCATCTGTTTTTGAATATGTAGGTAGTTTCTATATCTTGGATATTGTAAATAGTGCTGCAATGAACATAGGAGTGCTGATGTCCTCTTGGTTAGTGTTTTTGTGTCCTTTGGGTAGATACCAGATTGTGAATTTTGATGACTGTATTCCTTTGGGGAGGTTTAATATGTTCCCCTGTATTCTGTATTTCTTGTGTTTCATAAGATCTAGAGTGGGAGAAGGGAAAGAGAATTAGGAGAAGAGGTAAGAGAATGAATGGAGAGTACAGATCAAAAGGACTTTGTAGGGAAAAGGAAAGACTTTGGCTTTTTATCAGTCAAGTTCTAGTTGTAAAATAGAAAGCTCATTGTTATTTTAGCAGAAAGAATAATATAAGAAATTGATGTAAGAGGTTGGTACAGAAAGGCAAAGGTGAGAATATAGATTGGTACAGCTATTTTGGAAAGTGATCTGTATTTACCTTAAAAAGCTAAAAAATAGGCCCTCTCCACCCCAGTGAGAATGGCACATCTTCAAACAACTAGCAACAACAAATGTTGGCGAGGATGTGGAGAAAAAGGAACTCTCCTGCATTGCTGGTGGGAATGCAAACTAGTACAACCACTATGGAAAACTGTTTGGAGGTTCCTCAAACTGCTAAACATGGAGCTTCCCTACGACCCAGCAATCCCACTCCTAGGTATCTACCTAAAAGACACAAAAACACTGATTGAAAAAGATACTTGTACCCCCATGTTTATTGCTGCTTTATTTACAATTGGAAAAACATGGAAGCAGCCCAAATGCCCAAAAGTAGATGACTGGATTAGAAAGATGTGGTACATATATACAATGGAATATTACTCAGCAACCAAAAAAGAGAAACACATGTCTTTTGCAGCAACTTGGATGGAGCTGGAAAAGATCATGCTTAGTGAGATACGCCAGAAAGAGAAAGAAAAATACCGGATGGTTTCACTCATAGCAGGAGTATAATGGACCAGGCGAGAAAATAACAAAAATAATGAACAACCATATACCAGAGACATTCTGTGGGGGTGGAGTGGGGAATGGGATCAAAAACAGGGGGGGGCGGGAGGGAGGGAAATGCACGGGACTATGGGTGGTGGCACAGGGGTGATTTGGTGATGGGAAACCCGCAGGGATTACAATCAAGATGGAAAAAAAAAATGTGCAAAATGATGTAAAAATAAACTTTGTAATAAAAAAAAAAGTAAAAAAAAATAAGCCCTCTCTGGTAGCCAGCAGGTTGGAGTACTGCACTGTGAAGTTAAGTCAAATCATGGCTGCTTCAGTGTGGATTTGATCCCCAGCCCCGGAGGTGATCCAGATGGTGAGCAGACCTCTCCTGTCTCGCCTGCTGCTCCCCTCAGCAGTGTACTTTGTCAATCTGCCTGTTCTGCTCCCCACTCTCTCTGGTGAATCCCCTCCCTGTCCTTACAGCTCTGGCCTGTACGCCATGTCTGTATGCATAAGTAAATAAAAATATTTTTTAAAAGCTAAAAATTAAACTAGCCTGTGACTCAGTAATCCCACTTTCAGGCATCTCTCCACAAATCATGGCATTATCACTTTCAAAAGGATGCCTGCGCTCCTATGTTTATTGCAGCACAATCACAATAGCCAAATATGGAAAGAACCTAAATATTCAAAAACAGACTAATGGATCAAGCAGATGTGGTATATCTACACAGTGCAATGCTACTCAGCCATCCAAACTTACATGTGATGTTTATTGTAACATTATCTATAGTAGTTGGGACATGGAAAACAAACTAAATACCCAGAGACAGAGGATGGGATCAAGAAAATGTGGTATATCCACACTAGGGAATATTATTCATCCATAGAGGGAGATGAAATGTTATCATTTACAGCAATACAGAAAGAGTTTAAGGGACTTAGGTTCAATAAGGAAAGTCTGAATGCCCAAGACAAATACTTTGGATGAGCAGAGGATTCGACAAAGCAAAATACTAATGTCAGCGAGTGAACACTAAGAAAAGTAGTGAAGCTTCCGGTCTAAGAGGCAGGGAAGAGACAGAAGGTCAACGGGTTATTAGAGATGGTGGTGAGAACAAAAGATTAGGCAAAGGAGAACAAGCGGTAGCCAAGATAGAAATGGGAAGATAGAAATGGACATGCACGGCTACCGTACATGGGGCGAGAGGAACAAAAGGAAAAGGCGGGATGATTATCTACAGACCTGGAGGAGGCTTTTCAGACACGTGAGAAGGGAGGTGGCTCAGATTGTTGTCTATGAAGGGGCACAATAAAGTCCTTCTGGAAATATGGGAAATCAAAATTGGAAACTAGATACTACTTTCTTGCCTACGTCAAGAAACCCTGTGTGATGCCGACACAGTGAGAAATTAAAATAGGAAGGAGCAAGTTTCTTCTTCATGCCCCCTTCTCTCCTTTCAGGACCCCTAATTGCCAGAGGCGAATGGGGACCTACCTGAAAAAGAAAAATGTGGTTTGCAGTGTGCCAGCCCCAGTATCTCTTTTAAATTCACCCTTTAGGATAAGTTCATTCTTTTTGGTGTAGATTCCTATAAGTTTTCACAAATACACTGAATTATGGAAGTACCAGAAATAGAAATACAAAACTATTTCATCATGCCTCTAAACTCTCCGCCATGACCCTTCAATCTCCTGTCACTCCTGCTACTGTTATAATGTCAATCTGTATAATTTTGATTTTTTCCAGATTGTCATATAACTGTAATTAATATGTCGTTTTGAGTCTGACTTCTCGCTTAGCGTAATGCATTCGAGATTTATCCATCTTGTTGCTTCTGTGAACAGCTTGCTTCTTTTCACTGCTTGCTGGGCAGTGCTATGTTGTAGGGATATAGTAGAGTTGAATCCATTTATCCATTTAAGACATGAGATATTTCCTGTTTTGGTATGCATGAATAGAGCCAGCATGTATTTTGGGTATACATTTTTGTGTGAAGAGTATTGGCCAAATGGGGCCCTATCCATATCTTGTTCCCAGGCAACTGTCAATGTT